GATCCTCGCGATCCTGGGAAAGTAGGTCCTTCACCGATCTGGCCCCATTTGCCTGAGATATAGCCTTCTGAAGATTTTGATGTTCACACCATGAAAATACTGGTTTTTTCTGTAAGCTATATCTCAGCTATACGGTAGCCGATCTGGGCGTGGCATGTCTCACCGTAATCGGGAGAGTCCTGCCAATCGACTGCCATCGGAAAAAAAGACATCCTTTCCATCAAGATTTTCGCAAAAAATCATGATGTAACCATCATTAAATTTGCCAAAAACCGGCCTCATTTTCGTAGTCGTGATTTTGATGCCGTTCGACAGGCTGGATCCTCGCGATCCTGGGAAAGTAGGTCCTTCACCGATCTGGCCCCATTTGCCTGAGATATAGCCTTCTGAAGATTTTGATGTTCACACCATGAAAATACTGGTTTTTTCTGTAAGCTATATCTCAGCTATACGGTAGCCGATCTGGGCGTGGCATGTCTCACCGTAATCGGAAGAGTCCTGCCAATCGACTGCCATCGGAAAAAAGGACATCCTTTCCATCAAGATTTTCGCAAAAAATCATGATGTAACCATCATTAAATTTGCCAAAAATCGGCCTCATTTTCGTAGTCGAGATTTTGATGCCGTTCGACAGGCGGGATCCTCGCGATCCTGGGAAAGTAGGTCCTTCACCGATCTGGCCCCATTTGCCTGAGATATAGCCTTCTGAAGATTTTGATGTTCACACCATGAAAATACTGGTTTTTTCTGTAAGCTATATCTCAACTATACGGTAGCCGATCTGGGCGTGGCATGTCTCACCGTGATCGGGAGAGTCCTGCCAATCGACTGCCATCGGAAAAAAGGACATCCTTTCCATCAAGATTTTCGCAAAAAATCATGATGTAACCATCATTAAATTTGCCAAAAATCGGCCTCATTTTCGTAGTCGAGATTTTGATGCCGTTCGACAGGCTGGATCCTCGCGATCCTGGGAAAGTAGGTCCTTCACCGATCTGGCCCTATTAGCCTGAGATATAGCCTTCTGAAGATTTTGATGTTCACACCTTGAAAATACTGGTTTTTTCTGTAAGCTATATCTCAGCTATACTGTAGCCGATCTGGGCGTGGCATGTCTCACCGTGATCGGGAGAGTCCTGCCAATCGACTGCCATCGGAAAAAAGGACATCCTTTCCATCAAGATTTTCGCCTTAAAAATCATGATGTAACCATCATTAAATTTGCCAAAAATCGGCCTCATTTTCGTAGTCGAGATTTTGATGCCGTTCGACAGGCTGGATCCTCGCGATCCTGGGAAAGTAGGTCCTTCACCGATCTGGCCCTATTAGCCTGAGATATAGCCTTCTGAAGATTTTGATGTTCACACCTTGAAAATACTGGTTTTTTCTGTAAGCTATATCTCAGCTATACTGTAGCCGATCTGGGCGTGGCATGTCTCACCGTGATCGGGAGAGTCCTGCCAATCGACTGCCATCGGAAAAAAGGACAACCTTTCCATCAAGATTTTCGCAAAAATTCATGATGTAACCATCATTAAATTTGCCAAAAATCGGCCTCATTTTCGTAGTCGAGATTTTGATGCCGTTCGACAGGCCGGATCCTCGCGATCCTGGGAAAGTAGGTCCTTCACCGATCTGGCCCTATTAGCCTGAGATATAGCCTTCTGAAGATTTTGATGTTCACACCAAGAAAATACTGGTTTTTTCTGTAAGCTATATCTCAGCTATACTGTAGCCGATCTGGGCGTGGCATGTCTCACCGTGATCGGGAGAGTCCTGCCAATCGACTGCCATCGGAAAAAGGACATCCTTTCCATCAAGATTTTCGCAAAAAATCATGATGTAACCATCATTAAATTTGCCAAAAATCGGCCTCATTTTCGTAGTCGAGATTTTGATGCCGTTCGACAGGCCGGATCCTCGCGATCCTGGGAAAGTAGGTCCTTCACCGATCTGGCCCTATTAGCCTGAGATATAGCCTTCTGAAGATTTTGATGTTCACACCATGAAAATACTGGTTTTTTCTGTAAGCTATATCTCAGCTACACTGTAACCGATCTGGGCGTGGCATGTCTCACCGTGATCGGGAGAGTCCTGCCAATCGACTGCCATCGGAAAAAAGGACATCCTTTCCATCAAGATTTTCGCAAAAAATCATGATGTAACCATCATTAAATTTGCCAAAAATCGGCCTCATTTTCGTAGTCGAGATTTTGATGCCGTTCGACAGGCGGGATCCTCGCGATCCTGGGAAAGTAGGTCCTTCACCGATCTGGCCCCATTTGCCTGAGATATAGCCTTCTGAAGATTTTGATGTTCACACCATGAAAATACTGTTTTTTTCTGTAAGCTATATCTCAACTATACGGTAGCCGATCTGGGCGTGGCATGTCTCACCGTGATCGGGAGAGTCCTGCCAATCGACTGCCATCGGAAAAAAGGACATCCTTTCCATCAAGATTTTCGCAAAAAATCATGATGTAACCATCATTAAATTTGCCAAAAATCGACCTCATTTTCGTAGTCGAGATTTTGATGCCGTTCGACAGGCTGGATCCTCGCGATCCTGGGAAAGTAGGTCCTTCGCTGATCTGGCCCCATTTGCCTGAGATATAGCCTTCTGAAGATTTTGATGTTCACACCTTGAAAATACTGTTTTTTTCTGTAAGCTATATCTCAGCTATACTGTAGCCGATCTGGGCGTGGCATGTCTCACCGTGATCGGGAGAGTCCTGCCAATCGACTGCCATCGGAAAAAAGGACATCCTTTCCATCAAGATTTTCGCAAAATATCATGATGTAACCATCATTAAATTTGCCAAAAATCGACCTCATTTTCGTAGTCGAGATTTTGATGCCGTTCGACAGGCTGGATCCTCGCGATCCTGGGAAAGTAGGTCCTTCACCGATCTGGCCCTATTAGCCTGAGATATAGCCTTCTGAAGATTTTGAAGTTCACACCATGAAAATACTGGTTTTTTCTGTAAGCTATATCTCAGCTATACTGTAACCGATCTGGGCGTGGCATGTCTCACCGTGATCGGGAGAGTCCTGCCAATCGACTGCCATCGGAAAAAAGGACATCCTTTCCATCAAGATTTTCGCAAAAAATCATGATGTAACCATCATTAAATTTGCCAAAAATCGGCCTCATTTTCGTAGTCGAGATTTTGATGCCGTTCGACAGGCCGGATCCTCGCGATCCTGGGAAAGTAGGTCCTTCACCGATCTGGCCCTATTAGCCTGAGATATAGCCTTCTGAAGATTTTGATGTTCACACCATGAAAATACTGGTTTTTTCTGTAAGCTATATCTCAGCTACACTGTAACCGATCTGGGCGTGGCATGTCTCACCGTGATCGGGAGAGTCCTGCCAATCGACTGCCATCGGAAAAAAGGACATCCTTTCCATCAAGATTTTCGCAAAAAATCATGATGTAACCATCATTAAATTTGCCAAATACCGGCCTCATTTTCGTAGTCGAGATTTTGATGCCGTTCGACAGGCTGGATCCTCACGATCCTGGGAAAGTAGGTCCTCCACCGATCTGGCCCTATTTGCCTGGTATATAGCCTTCTGAAGCCTTCTTGAAGCTATAAAACGAAAAATTCCAAAGTGGCAGTTTGGTTTTAAACAAGGTCACGGATCGCCAGATCAACTTCATCGTGTGGTCAATTTCGCGCTTGATGAAATGGAGCAAAAAATGTGTTCGGTAGCTGTGTTCATGGACATCCAACAAGCGTTTGACAGGGTGTGGCATGATGGCCTCCTCATTAAGCTGAGAAACATATTGATGCCGCAGCTATTCCAACTGGTTAGTAGCTTTCTAAAGGACAGAAGTTTTAGTGTTGTTGTAAATGGAGCAAAATCCTCGAAGCGCACAATCTGTGCAGGCGTCCCACAAGGCAGCGTTCTCGGACCAACATTATATACCCTATATATGGCTTCCTCAAGGGTAATAACTGGGTGGGAAGAGGACGATGTGTTGATAGCAGCCTACGCGGATGGAAGTCCAAGCATAAATCTAGAAACTGAAGCTCTGCAGCAAATGTGAGCAGCTTTGAGGTCTGGGCTTAGAAATGGAACATTGGCATCAACAGCAGAAAATGTGCTGATGTTACTTTTGCTACAAGAACACTTTCTTGCGAAGGAATTAATATGCCGGGCTCCACACTTACGCACAAGAGCTCGCACAAATACTTAGGGGTTGTACTGGACAGGAAACTAAACTTCAAACTTCAAAGGTTCGACAGTCTTTGATGGCAAAAGCGGGAAAGATATCGTAGCTACTTGCACCAAGGAATAAGATGTCACTGTACAGCAAAGTCACGATATACAAGTACATCCTCAGCCCCATATGGAAATACGCTCCTCAAATTTTCGGCAGAGAGTTGCTCAAGCAAAAATTCTAAGATGTATAAGCAATGCTCCTGGTAAATGCGAAACAGCGACATTGAAAGGGACCTAAAGGTTCCCAAAGTGGGCGATGTTAAACAACTACATGCAGCGATGTACTTGCAACGCCTTGGTGGTCACCCTAATGCACTAGCCAAACGTCTAGTTACCCCGCCAAGGAAAAGAAGATTCAATAGGTGTCATCCACTGGATCTCCCTACTAGATCCCTCTTATAAAATTCCATTAACTTTATATAAATGTTGTAAATAATGTATGTAAATAAAACCCTTTCCATATATGTAACATTTATTTTATGTATGTACATATGTATCTCCTGTGATCAATTGTTTTTCCCCTTAAATGTAAAACTAGATTAAGTTTCCACGAAAGGTAGCAGTAAACTTGTTTACAATAAAATACAAATTTTCCACATGAAAAAAAAACACACCTGAAGGCGAAATGCTATGCTATGCTAAAAGTATGCTATGACTTACGAAATTTAACAATAGAGGGAGCCTTAAATGTTGCGCAACATAGGGCAAGCAACATCGTCCAGAAAGCCGAAAATTTGGCATAAATTCGATAAATTAAGTTTGAGCCTTGAAAGTGGGTACAGTTGATTGTATTGATGTACATATATAAGAACTTATATAAATTTCTGACCGATCCGAACACGTCCAATAAAAAGGCGTGCCTGATTTTAATATGTGTATGTCTTCAGTTGCTTAATGTGTACATACTTCGGCGTCCATGCTTCATTTCATTTCTAAATTACTAAATTTACATGCTCCCGAAATCAAGAAAAATAAACAGAATGAAGCAAGGAGAGCGCCGTCCTGGGTCCTGGTCCTGGGAAAGATCGGAATTGGTAAATAAACGTTGGAATCAGCAAATGAACGCGATGTGGTGCTGTGGCGTCAATAGTGGACTTAGACGGTATGCAGGAGTTACTTCCATTCCAGGCCGAGATCTAGGTCTTGTTGTTCGCATCGAAGTACAAATAAATTTAAAATCTGAAATGGATATACAATTGCTTAGGTCTGATAATGCAACACACGCTTTCTTCATTCTTACCAACTTGAGGTCGACGTCGTTGAGGTGGAGGCCGGGAGCTAGGTCTTTGTGCTTCCTTAATATTTGCAGTCGGCGTGGGATGCGTCCAGACTGCAGGCAGCTACATTATGAAGAATTATATAGATGAATCACAGTGTCATTATTCATCAAATTCATACCTAATGCATCCTCAAAGTCCCAGAAGATCCCACTCAACATCCATAGGGCGATATCACAGACACCTAGTCGTAATCGCCATGGAAGAAGGTCTTCTTCTGCGGCTGCGTGGATAAATATAAGTTAATAAAGAAATAAATAATAGTGTTTCATTCAGTTCTGCTACAGAGCATGGTATGTTGCTGCTATAGCAAATCCAAATAGACACCTGACGATTATACGATTGACGAATCGTATATTTTACAAGGGAACTGAGAATTTCGTAATCTGATAGTATCAGAGAAGAACAAAAAGCCAACAAGCCATAACCCCGTTGATGTGCAATCCAAGAGAGCCGCAAGACTATTGATTCATAAATCAAAAGCCTCTTATGAATGGAGAAAACAAATAGTCCTCCTGCACCACCGCTGCTCACCAGAACTCGGCATCTGCCTGGCCCCACAACCGAAGGAGAGGGAGAATCGAGGAACCAGGACCGAGGTTATTTATGAGCCAATAACTTTACAACTAAACGCTCATCTACATTTAATGGCGATAATTTTTGACGCAATTTGAGAAACAGACACACCGGCGGTCGATCTCTGGCTCTTGGCTTCCAGGTCTGGGCCCAGGCACACTTTCAGTCCCAGCACCAGCATCAGCTCCAGCTCTCCGGGTCTGGCCTACAAAGAAGTGAAGAAGCCAACCGCAGCAGATAACACAAAACACTTGACACCTTGCCTTGTGTGGGTCTGGTCTTCGTCTTCGGAATGCGTGCGGCAAGGAGAGAGAGAGAGAGAGAGAGAGCCCCACTGCGGAGACACCCGAGGGCAGAGCACAATAAAAAGAGACCAACAGAAAGAGCGATCGTAAATTTACAATAAAAAGAACGAATGCCGAGCCGGGACAGTGGCAGTGGCAGTGGAAGTGGCAGGGACTGGGACTGGGACTGGGGCTGGGACAGACAGAGACTGGGCCTGGGACTGGCACTAAAAGGAGGAAGAATGCTGTAAATTTGGGGATTTCGAGATGGCAACAGCTGTCTGTCGATCGAGTGCCTTCCGATCTGAGCTCTATGGGTGGTTTGACCACTTCAGTGGACTCCCTTCGGCTGGCTGCGTTCTCATTCATCGCATCACTTGCCAGAGCGGCTATGTCTATGGCATTGTGCTCTACTCGTACTCGTACTCGTACTCGTACTCGTACTCGTACTCGCACTAGCACTAGCACTCGCACTCGTTCCACAAATCGATTTCAGGCTTCATTAGCTCCCCCCATCAGAGCGCGGAGCACAGGAAACTCCCGCTCGCTTTTCTAGCTTTTCCTTTGTTTTCCTCCCGTTTGCGTATTGCAAACACACAAATGCGTTAAACTAGCTCATGCCCCCAAACGGCACCCTCTAACCTAATGCCACCCCACCTACAGTCTAAATCCACTAAGTTAGTCGCTCTATTGATGCTCGGTCAACCATCGAGTTTCTGTTTTTGTGTTTTTCTGCTTCGTTTCGTTGTTTGCTGAATGCCGCGCGACCGACTGGACTGCCTGCCGATGTCTGGGACTGAATGATTTTTCGGGCTTTGGCTTTCGCTCTTCTCATGCTACTCGTATGCGTTCTCAATATTTCCATCATTTCCATCGCAACTACTCGATTTCCCCCCTACCCGTACACCGTTTTCCATGGGCATTTTCTGTCGCTTACCGTCGCCTTCCGTCGCTTTCCGCTTTTTGTTCTACCACCTTTTGTAAATTTGTGTCATGCGTTGGGTTTTCCTGTTGGCTCTTCGCGTTTTTTTCTCGTTTCTCCCGCTTGGCTTTAATTTCTGTTTGCTGGGAAAGTAAAACAAAGCGAGAGTTGTTGACTCTTGATTCTGGCGATGGATGAATGGTTGAATGGTTGGTCGTATGCTTCGCCGAGGGGATGGGGTTGTGGTTCTCAAGAGGGGTGGTCGGGGGGTACGTGCCAATGACCAATGTTCTGCTCTAATTCAATTTCGATCCGAGCTAATGTTTGCTTTGGCAAATGATATCTTCGCAGCTCATGCTTTATGGAATCCAACTGGGAAACCCCCCCAAAAACAAAATCGATTTATATTCTCGAATCTTACCTTCTGGCATTCTGGCATATCCTCTGCCTAACCTTACCCCCTGCTGTTGTCGTATTTTAGCTTATATAATTCCTCACATGTTTTGACACATTTCTTAATGGCACCTCACACACGCACACTCACACTCATACATGCACCTACACTCCACACAGATACAATCGGCAGAGAAGAGAAGCGAAGCGAGCCAGAGGCGAATGAATACAAAATGAACAAATGCAAACACAAAGCCTGGAAGACAGAAAGAGAAATGATATTGTAATTGGCAATCGTTGTTCCGCATAAATCACATGCATAAATTTCGAACCTCGAAGGCATTCTACAAAGGCAACGAATGTTCCACCTCCAGATCCACCGATTCGGAGACGCAGTGGAGTGGAGTGGAATGGAGTCCAGGCCGCCTCATCCTTTATATCCTCCTCCCGCGTTTCGGTCGTTAGTTGAAGTCAAATGTTGTTTTCCAATTGGAAAATTTTTCATTAACTAATTGAACATTTTATGGGCAGACAGCTGAATGGGGGCCGTGTGGCGGGGGCCGGGTGGAATGGGGGTGCTGCTTACAAAGAGTCAGAAAGACAGGACCTGACCAAAATGGCGCCAATATTGAATGGCTAACAGAGAGAGCACGGAGACGGACACGGACACGGACACGGACCCTCTTCTGTCCCTGTCACCTTCGCTCTGGCAACAAAAAACGGGCCATGGCAAGACAATGGACGAACAATGTTAGACAGCCAGGACGACACGAAAGGACGTTGGCCCAAATGGACAAACAAACGCGAGATAGGAGGTGTATCTGTGTGTGCTGTCTGTGTGTGTGTTTGTGTCCGTGTGTGTGTTGCTTCGATAATTTACGAGCGCACGCTTTGCCACGGACTTTGCTTCCGTTTCGTACAGGACATCCATTGATGCCAAAGGGAGTACGGGATTTGTGGGACACTATGTAACGGTGTGAGTGGCATGTAGGGCACACAAGATTCATCTTGAGCAGGGGCACGGCACCCTTCCTTCTTGGCCACCATTTGCAGCGGAGATATCTTGCCACAATCATTCCCTGGCAATACCAATAATTCGCTTCTGTTTCAGGGCCATCTTCGGCCTTCCAAGGTACTCTCCTCGTCCATCAGCCGTCGTTCGGGGCTCTTGTTCTTCTTTGAATATACAAATAATGTTGGAAATTTGCATAACTGTCTGGGTGCCTTCTTCGCTGCTCGCCCTCTGCGCTCCCCTCTGGTCGCTCTGGTCAGGGCTGTCTGTTATCCTGCCGGCCATGGCGGATATTAAACATTAGCGCGTGCTGAACACATCAACCGACACCACCCCCAATCCTCAGCCCTCAGCCCTCAACCCCAACCGCAGCGTACCCTCTTCCTTGGCACCAAAAATAATTAAGGTGAAAATTGCTGTCGACACGCAAACTGAAAAGGTAAAAGCCAAACCATATACCATATAGCATGTACCATATACCATACACCGCATACTATACTCCGGTGATCCGCAGCGACCAAACTCGAGCATTTCTGAAGTTGATTTTTTGGCTTTGAGAAATGACTGGCCAACAGAAAGAGCAGCGCAGCTGATAAGTCAAAGAAGCAGCCGAGGAGGAGCGATTGGAAATGACTAATGAAACCTATTAGCCCTGTGACAGATGAGGAGTCTCTGTCTCTGTCTCTGACTCTGACTCTGTCTGGAGGAGCTGTGACCGTGATGATGGATAAGCTCATTAAGCTGAGACGCGCCGCTCTCCACTCCGCACTCTCCGTTCTCCTCTCTCCAGGAGGAGATCAGGGATCAGATCATTCGGTAGCGGCATCATCTATGACAGCAGCCTGACCTTTCGTTTAATTGAAATCTGTTGGTGGGCCGCCCCTGCTCAGCTCTTTTATTGGTTCTCTGCCCCCGCCCCCACCCCTCTGGTTCCTCTCGATAGTGGCCCCTAATTTGGTGATAAGTGCCGTCGTCTCCACTTGCTCTGACATTTTCTTTATCGCTTATGGCCCAATACAATGAATTCGAAGGTAAACCCATTGCCAATCAATCAAGCAGGCTCGCCGAGTCGCTCGACGGCATCGCGGGGCACTCTGAGGGTCCATTTGCGCATAAGCGGGTTCGGAATGCGTCGCTTTGAGAACACATTGCGGAAGTGGTCGCCAGACTGGAGACGCGGACGACCGCCTGGGGCCGGATCGTCCACCAGGCAGCTAATCCTCAGATACTGGACGCCAGAGTCCCCAATCTCGCTCTCTATGGTGCACTGGGAGGAGGGTGAAGGGATGATAAGAATGCCATCTATCTGCTTTCAAATGGTAAGTACTATTCGGGAATACTTACATTTTCCGCATGACGGAACACTGCCTCCTGGTACTGTCGGAATTTGTTCTCCAACTTATGGGCCAGACAGCGGCTCTCGAAAGCTGTTGAAAAGAGAGAGCCATTAGCTCCACCCCAACTGGAAGGACTCCACTTACGGGGCTCGCAATGAAATTGTGACTGGATCACCACACCGACTATGTAGGCGGCCGCCACAATCAGGATCACCAATCGACACCGTGAACTTTCAGGCATTTTCGTGAAATAAATAAATACTATTGAGTAATTTTGTTAGCAGCTTGTCTGGGATGTTTGGGAACCTGAATGATTGAAATCAGATTTTAACTAAATAGAAACTAAATCAGTGATTACTAGATTATTGAGTCTATGCTTCACCAGTTCCGTTTGTATGGATTATTTCCTATGGGTATAGAATAGCTTCCCACTATTGAATCCCTGGACACTTGGAAGTTCCATTGGCGCTGTAGATGTTTCGGAATGCCCGGTACCATGGAAATCATACTGCAACAAGCCACTTTTGCCTCCAACTGGCTGCCAATGGTGCACTGGAATGAAGGCATCCTAATATAGTTAGGGTACTCTCAAATGGTTTATTTTGGAATACTTACGCTGTGCTATAGGCATCCTGGACCATCAACTCGTTCCGAACCAGAACGATCAAGGCGGATCAGGGCGGGGCATATATGTAGGCTGTCGGAAGGGAGAGAATAAATATGGGAATAAATGTAAGCAGAGAAGAAGCTAAGTGTAGAAGAAGGTTATTAAGATCAAAAAATGGCCAAAGAAAACGCCAAAAACACGGACCCATATTGCAATATGGCATATAAATAAATACATAATTTGGACCTTAATTTCGAATCCAGTTAATACTCAAGATCTTAAAGGTGTTTTCATTTTGATGGTGAACTAAATGGCTCTGAGGAAATTAGCTGGTTGCAAGGCATATGCTATATAGAGCTGATATCAGATAACTTTTAGAATTCAACACTCATGGCGAATTCCAAGAGGCCACTTCCAGCCTTCATCTAATCAAAAATTTAACAATTCCCGAAAGTTCTACGAAATCTATTTGGCCTTTGTTCCATCTACATGTCTATCTGTATATCTGTCTATCTATCTATCTGTCTATCTACCTTTTTTGGGTAAACTTTTCCGATTAGCCATAAAAATCAATAGAAAATGCTATGGAAATTTTTGGCTGCGGACGGACGGTGTTTGCTCTTTTCTGTGTCAGTGTCGTCTGTCGTCTGTCGAGCCGCGTATGACGAGTCGCGTCTGCTCCGCGTCTGACGTTGGGATTGCGGATTGTGGGTTTGGCAGCTGGCGAATTGTTGACGGCTGTTGATTTTACGATTTACGATTTAATTTGACGAATTTCACCTTATGATCATTATATATTGTTATTTCTTCAGTGCAATTGTTTTGTGCGTCGTCGCATTTATGATCTATCAGTGTGGTTTATGGCTGGCTTTTGGTTGCCGGTCGCCCCGGGCAAGGCAACACGAGATTTCACAACGCAACCCCCAAACTTGTCTATGGCTATGTCTATGTCTATGGCTATGGCTGTTGAATTGTTAGACCAATTAATAATTGGCTGTTGTTGGGGCTGTGGTTGGGGCCCCAGATCTTCTTCGGACTGCAGTGTAGGTGGAGGCCTTAGCTTTCTCTCCTTCTGCGCCCACAGATGTGCGCTTTAATTAATTATTGAGTAAAATTAATTTCGATTCAATTGTGCAGTCGCATCATTAGCAGCCCAGTAATCCTCCCCCTCGTGCAAGACTGGGCCAAGAGGCATCAAGCAAACCTGCTGAGTAAGCAATGATATCGTTTATAGGTTGCCCCCATCCTCCATCCTCCATCCACCATCCACCATCCTCCATCCTCCATCGCAGAGACTCATCTGAAGTGCCATATCGTTTTTATGAGTGGGCTTGAAAGGTGATTAACGCGATCATAGAAACGATGTTCGAGAGTGGAGTGAGTGCCGGCTGGGACTCGTACTGGAACTGTAACTGGGGGCTCATCTTTCCCTAACAACACCTCAAGTGGGGGACAGGGAATGGGAATAGATCGTTAGATCTCCCTAGATCATGACTCTTTCTTTATTTCTTTCTCCATTTGCGCACGCGCTAAATGTCAAAAAGAAACCCATGGACGCAGATCGGAGTTCGGAGCCGCCTGCTGTTCTGTGCTCCATCGTTTGACTCTGACTCTGGTCTCCCTCTCTCTCTCTCTCTCTCTCTCTGTGGTGGCAGCGGTGGCACGCCCTCAGCGGCCCGCCAGGCCGCCCACTTGGAACATGTCGAATCATTCATTCAACGCACAAAATGTGGGCTTTCGGCGGGGTCTTCGTTGAGGTGTTGAAAACGGTGCTCTGCAGAGAGCCCTGCCCCTGCCCCTGCCCCTGCCACCCTCCGGTGCAGGAGGCATTTTGTGTGCATTTGTAGTTGTTCAACTGCGGCACTGCGGTGCCCCGTGCTCTGTGGCAGCTCTCTGTAGCTGTCATTATTTTCTGTAACATTTAGCAAAATCATTAATAATTGTTGTTGCTGTGCGACACAGATACGCACTTTAAAAATTGTCAGACGACAAAGACAGCCGAGATCTGGTGTTAACTTGATTAGCATTCGCATAAATTTCGCAGTTGCAACGCGGCATCGCGGCATTTCGGCATCTCGGCATTTGCATAGAATGCGCATTGCAGAACGATGGAATTGCCCTCAAAACCGAGAGAGAGAGATAGAGAAAGATCTAAGAAGAGCCGTAGAGGACGCTATCTCTGTTGGCCAATCGACGGCTGGATTAGACGGCACTCGGTGTGGGCCCTGCCCCAATTCCCCCGAGACGGGAGACACTTCACTTCACTACACTCCACTTCAATTCACTTATTATGCAAACAAATAATTTCGTTTAAATTCAAAAGATAAGAACACCGAAGCCCAAACCGAAACCGAAACCGAAACTGAAAGGAAAGAAATTATTAAGAAAATAATTCCTAAGAATTGTGCAGACAAAACAAATTGCCGCGTAATCTTGTGGGTTGCCTTGGATGGTAGATCGGAGTTGACAATAAATTGAAATCGTTTCCCAGAGACAGAGGAACAGAGAGAGAGCGAGAGAGCGAGAGAGAGAGAGAGAGACCCTTTATCGACAAGTGCCGCCAAGTGGAATCAATCAGGCGGAGAGGAGAGCATTTATTTCCTTGGAGGGTTTCGGTCATGTTTGTTGTCAAGACCGATCTCGAAGCGTGACAATATTTTGGCCACAAATTCAAACGAAACGATCTCGAGGGGCCATCGGTTGCAGGGGCAGGGGCAGCGGCAGGGGCAGGGGCAGGGGCATGGGCCAAGGGTCTTCAGAATGTAATTAATCATGTTGACTTGAACGATAAGTTGAGATCTCCTTCGAGGGTACAACAGGTAGTTCAATGAGAGGTGACTGCCTTCGCTGTGTGCGGTGTGCGGCACACAGGAGGTGCAGGAGGAGCTCCAGGAGGCGGAGTAGGAGGAAGGAGACTCTCCGAGTGAGCAGTAGCCTCAATAAATCTACAAGATATCGGGTGCGAGTATCGCTTGCGGGCAAATCAATAATCCAGAAGGGGTCTTACGACCCTCGCAGGACATCCCATTCGAATATTTATGATGTATCCGAAAGATCACGACATAAGAGCGCCAAAATTGATACATTATAAGTAGTTTTGGGGGAAATTAAGGAAGAGATTACGGGTAAAAGATACCACCGAGTGATGGATTAGTTACGGGAAGAAGTTTGCTGGAAGATCTTCAGGGCTTTGGGCCGCAGATACGATACGGGCATGAATGGGAGTGAATCTGCTGCTCTTCGTCTGCTGCCATCTGCCATCATCAGACAGACGAGTATAGGCATGATCGGGCTCTCTTCATTCTAGGCCAAAATCACCATAAATCGTTTAACATTTGTCAATGGGCATGGAGTCAAGTACGGACTTCAAAATGTATCTTTTGCTTGCGTTCAACGTAAGACAAGCAGCTCGGGAGCAAACAAAAGCCTCGTCTGAAAACCAACAAAGAAAACACTGGCGGGGGGCTGCAGGGGGATACAACAATGTCAGCTAAAGATTCAAATGTATCTGCGGGTGTACGCTGCGAAGGGTATCCATATCTATGGCTGTGTATCTGTAGAAACGTCTGCTTTGGCATTAATGGCAAATTTGCACGGAGTAAATACTCGTACCAGAACAGACGGACGGAAGGACGGACGGACGGACGGACGGATAGACAGCGGCAGTCAATTATCAATAGACTGGAATGTGTGTATCTGCATCTATACCTGCATGTGTGTGTGTGTGTGTGTGTGTGTGTGTGTAAGTAACTAACACACCCATACGATGCATACATAGATAAATTTGTATCTGGCTGCCGCTGGTTAATGTTTTCAGTGCTGTTGTTGCTGCTACTTCACCTGCGTGAGCTGCAGCTCTCTCTCTCTCGCTCTCGCTCTCGACCTCTCTTTCTCGCTCTCCCTCGCCCTCTCCCTCTCGCTCTCTCTCTCACCATCTCTCCCTCTTGCTTTGTCTGTGCGCGCTCTCTCGCTCTAACTTGGCTGCGGATTGGCTGGCCTCGGCGTCTGCGCCGCTTTTGCGGAGAGGCCACACCTCTATTTTATCTGTTCTCTGCCCCCCCCGCCCTACCCCATGCATCGCTCATGTTTGCAGCCCCAGACAAAGCGACGTTTGCGTGCAGGTTCCCACTCCCCCCACCCCCACCCTACTGTTCCAATACCATGTACTCGCACCATCATCCCCCCATCATTGGCCCAACATAAGCTTTCGACCTAAATGGCTTTTGGGGGATGGCTCTCCACCGCCTGGAGGACAAAATGAAAATGGCTTTTATGCGTGGCGTGCGCTGGGGTAATTTTATGGCCAACACTGGGGGACCATTCGGGGAAACCCTTATCCCTTGCCCCTTGGGGCGGAAAACTGCTTTCCACCTGGCAACCGCACTCTGGACACTGGACACTGGACACTGGACTCTGGACTCTTGACTCTGGATTACGAATATGTAGATACTCCTGCGGATGTGTTTTAATTGTCCTAGTATTGATTTCTGGCCAAAGACAGGCCATAACCTGGCCAAAATTAATGCTTTAATTTTGTTTAATTATGTTTTATTTTGTGGTAACAGCTTGGGGTCCGTTCGATGTTTGCGTGATGTTTTTGGGAACTGGAAAATGGCAGGGGTATGGGAAAATGGTATAACCCATCTGAAATGTGTCAAAATTAATGATCCCTGAAGGAG